GCTATTTCTGGGATTGTGAATGCTTCTGTTAGCATCTGCTCTTTGCACATTCCTTCTGTAATACAATGTCACTACTATACTGAGCTGCTAATTTAAAGCATGAATTTGCCCTTCTTCAAGGACTTAACTGGGGAAGGAGCAATCTGGGATATTTATTGTTCTTAAAACACAAATACATACACAAAATAATTACAGCTGCTTCTAAGCTGGTTTATAGATCTGGAATCTATGTTGGTTAGGTAGATCTGGAATCTACCTAAACTTGAATTTGTACAGGCTATAAAGATTGAAAGTTGAGTTTATTTTGATCATGCCCTTTGCACAGGAAGCTCTATGATTGAAGCTAATTTTCCATTGTATATCCATCCCTTAATGCCATCATACCATAAAAATTGAACGTCCATGTGCTTTTCAGTATCATTTGCCTTCCCATTCTTTTAGAAATAATCTCTTCCATTTGTCATTAAGAATGTAATTTCCAAGATTCCAGACAAGCATTAAATCTGCTGCATTGCTCTCTAAAATGTAGAGAAGCAATTTACCTTAATATATTAAGATGTGGCCCATTGAAGTAACTTGGCATTTGTCAGAAAGATTTGGGAATTGAGTGGATGAACGTGGTAAAGAATGAATTCCCTTTCTGAAGCATGGCAACAGCTATTGGTAATATATTATTTTTATATATCCCTTTTCCCTACTAGCCTTCTCCTCACAGCATCCATGGAATATACTGTAGCCCAGCATCTGGTAATCCCATATTACTGACAGCAGGCTCAGACATGAAAATAAGGTAATAAAACTAGCAACTATTTTGTTTGACACTCTTCCCTCCACCCCTGCTGATGTGCTAAATTTTGCCAAGTATTGCCTAAGTAAGCTCTGAGAAGTCAAAACAATATTGCTGAAGATGTGTTCATTTAGTAAGCATCAGTAAACAGAGAGAATTGTTCTCAGCAAAAGTAGTGCAAAACTTGGTGCTTCTCTGAAACATGTGTACCCTTCTGTAAAGTTCTTGATAGACTGCATTGGCAATATAAATCATGTGTAAGCTTGATATGAATGTTGGTATCTACGCACACTCTTTTCTACTGTGTAGAAGGGAAACAACATTTGTACCAGCTTTTAAACAGCTATATTAATATGATAAAATTGAACATCTCATCTTAATTTTTGTTTCTTTGTATTTAGGTTTTGGGATCTTGCCTACCCTGAGAGATCATATGTTGTTGCTGGAAGTTCTAATTGCCCATCTGTTTCCTACTACAGGAAGATAATTGAGGGCACGGAGGTGGTTCAGGTATTTTGCTTTGTTTGACAGACATCTATTCTCCTTGCCTTTTGGATGGCCCAATGGGTCATGTTAATTACATGGTAGCTTTAATTATAATTATGTTACTTTTATCTTTTACGGATGGTGTTGGTCTTGTGTTTTCAGGCACCAGAGTTACATGTTTCTTTTGGCTATTGAAATCTAGTGTTTTAACACTTTTGACTTTGATCAGTCTTTGGGATGTCTCTTGTGTAGGATTCAGCAAGTGTGAGATGCACTGGCCCCAAAATGATATGGTAGCAGAACTTTGTGGGTTTTATTACACACCTGAAAGTGACTTTTGGAACTGACAGTATTGCTAGTTATTGAATAAGCACTGTGTTTTGTTCCAGTTCAGTTGAATTAATGCTACATCAAAGGTGACTGGAAGAAAAGTCAGTGAGGGTCTGCCTGTGCACTATGATATTTTAGTGCTGCTTCATCTGAAGTTCTTGAATAATTACATTCATTCTATTGAACCAGTTTTATAAAACCTCTGAGGAGATGTATGTGTCGCTGTAGCTTCTTTTTCCCCTATAGGAATATCAAATCTTAGAAGTAAGTGTAATTGAAATAAATATGAGGAAAAAAAAATTATCCCTAGTTACAGCTGTAATGTCAGTCCAGATTAAGAATTAGGTTGTGTGTGATGAAAAGAAGTGAATCAAGGAGTAATAATAAGAAAACTCTCCAAGGGTGGGAGTTTTTGTGTTCAAGTATTTGGTTTGGTTTAAGAGTTTTTTGGTCTTTTCACACTGAGGACCTAGTATGTGTGGCAGTTCCCCCTTGCAACAGCTCACCCTTCTGTAAATAATATTTCTCACTTTGTTTTTTGTATAGGAAATTCAAAACAAACAAAAACTGGGGCCCACTGATGAGACCCCTCGGAAAGGTCCAGAGTCTCTCCCAGTTGGACATCATGATATTATCACAGATATTGCAACTTTCCAGACTACGCAAGGGTTTATAGTAACTGCATCAAGGGATGGAATCGTTAAAGTGTGGAAATAGAGGTTGCACTAATATATAGTATGTAAATATTTGTAATAAAGAAATTGTGTTATAATAAAGTTTTCAAGGACTGTTTCCAGGTCATGGAATAGAATGGTCTTTAAAGACTGCAAAGGTGATGATAAAATTGGTTATCTGTATTTTACCACCCTGTTAGCACTTCTTAATCACTTCTTTTAATAAAGATGTTTTGTATCTATACCATTTCCACAAAATGCCAGTCTGTGAAGAAATCGTTTAGCCTGGGTTTGACTACATTGCTCTTTAAGAATCTTTTCAGAAGACGATTTAAAGATGTCCCACATTATACATTCTTAAAGGTTCTAAAAGCAAAGAGCTGACAGAAGTACTTCAGTGTCTGACTGCTATGTTCAGTCTGAGAAATGAAACAAGAACCAGTGCACTAATGTACCTGTACATTCTAATAACTATAATAAAATCCACTTGAGCTTCCCTCTTTGGTACTTGGGTTTTTTATAACCTCTACAGTGTCTTTGGTCTCAGCTGCCAGTGCCATTGGGCTGCTAACTGTAGTTTGAGATCAGCTAAACCTTGTGTCCGATCCTTGCCCCCCGCTGTCACCTCACTCCTGCCACTTGCCCTTGCCTTGCTCCCACAGCCCTGTGCCTTCCCCTTGCTCTTACCGCTGCTGTGCCCTCCCTCGCTCCCACTGCCCTGTGCCCTCACCTGATCCCACCACTCCATGCCCTCATCTTGCTCCCACCACCCCGTGCCCTCGCCTCACTCCTGTTGTCCTGTGCCCTCACTTCGCTCTCCCCACTACTGTGCCCTCGCCTGCTCCCACTGCCCCATGCCCTCACATCGCTCCCGCTGCCTCGTGACCTTGTCTTGTTCCCACTGCTTTTTGTCCTGTCCTCACTCCGGCCACCCTGTACCCTCACCTCACTCCCGCCCTTTGCCTCGCTCCCACAGCCCTGTGCCCTCACCTGATCCCGCCACTCCATGCCCTTGTCTCGCTCCCACCGCTCTTTGCCCTCTCCTCGCTCTTACCATCCCGTGCCCTCACCTCACTCCCGCCCTTTGTCCTTGCGTCGCTCCCACTGCTCTGTGCTCTTGCCTTGCTCCCACTGCTCTGTCATCTCCTTGCTCCCACCACCCTGTGCCGACCTCGCTCCCACTGCCCTGTGCCCTCACCTGATCCCCCCACTCCATGCCCTCGTCTCGCTCCCACCGCTCTTTGCCCTCACCTCCCTCCCGCCCTTTGCCCTTGCGTCGCTTCCACTGCTCTGTCATCTCCTTGCTCCCGCCACCCTGTGCCGACCTCACTCCCACAGCCCTGTGCCCTCACCTGATCCCACCACTCCATGCCCTTGTCTCGCTCCCACCGCTCTTTGCCCTCTCCTCGCTCTTACCATCCCGTGCCCTTGCCTCACTCCTGTTGTCCTGTGCCCTCACTTTGCTCTCCCCGCTACTGTGCCCTCACCTGCTCCCGCTGTCCCGTGACCTTGTCTTGTTCCCACTGCTTTTTGTCCTGTCCTCACTCCGGCCACCCTGTACCCTCACCTCACTCCCGCCCTTTGCCTCGCTCCCACAGCCCTGTGCCCTCACCTGATCCCGCCACTCCATGCCCTCATCTCGCTCCCACCGCTCTTTGCCCTCTCCTCGCTCCTACCATCCCGTGCCCTCACCTCACTCTCGCCCTTTGTCCTTGCGTCGCTCCCACTGCTCTGTGCTCTTGCCTTGCTCCCACTGCTCTGTCATCTCCTTGCTCCCACCACCCTGTGCCGACGCTCCCACAGCCCTGTGCCCCACTGCCCTGTGCCCTCCCAAAGCTCTTTGCCCTCTGATCCCCTACCACTCTCACTGCCCTTTGCCTCGCTCCCACAGCCCTGTGCCCTCACCTGATCCCCCCACTCCATGCCCTCGTCTCGCTCCCACTGCTCTTTGCCCTCTCCTCGTTCCTACCATCCCGTGCCCTCACCTCACTCCCGCCCGTTGCCCTTGCCTTGCTCCCACAACGCTGTGCCCTCCTCTCCCTCCCGCTGCCCCGTTCCCTCACCTGATCCCACCACCCTGTGCCCTCTCTTCGCTCCTACCACTCCATGCCCTCACCTCACTCCTGCCCTTTGCCTTTGCGTCGCTTCCACTGCCGTGTGCTCTTGCCTCGCTCTCACTGCCCCATGCCCTCCCCTCACTCTCACTGCCCTGTGCCCCCACCTGATCCCACCACCCGTGCCGTCTCCCTCCCACCACTCTTTGCCCTCTCCTCCCTCCAGCCACCCCGTACCCTCACCTCGCTCCCACTGCCCTGCGCTCTTGCCTCGCTCCTGCTGCCCCGTGCCCTCGTCCTGCTCCCACTGCTCTTTGCACTCTCCTCACTCCCACCCTTTCCCCTCGTCCCGCTCCCACCACCCCATGCCCTTGCCCCTCTCCCACCCACCCGTGCCCTCGTGTCTCTCCCACTGCTCCTTACCCTCTCCATGCTCTTGCCGCCCTGTGCCCTGAGCTCACTCCCACACCCTGCCCTCCCCTTGCTCCCACCGCCCCGACCCTCACTCCCGCCCGCTCCTACACCCCAAAACCCCGCAGCACGGGGCACCGCTCTGCGCGCTTCCCCGGGGCAGCCTCAGTGAGGGCAGGCGGGCGTGCCCAGGGGAGCAGGCGGGCGGAATGGGGGCGGAGCCGGCGGCTGTGGCGGGGTCAGGGAGGCGGAGGGCTTGGTGTGGGGCTCGCTGCCGTTGGCGGCGGTACCGGGAGGGAGCCGGCCATGGATGCCACTGCGCACGAGCTGGACGCGGTGAGGTTCGCGCAGCTGGCGGTGCAGCGGGACCACAGCGGCCGCTACCAGGAAGCAGTCTTCTACTATAAGGTACGGGGGGAACGGAGGGCGCGTCGGCGGCAGCCGGTTCCCTCAGGGCGCCGGTGTCCGTTTCTCTTCGCTGTGCTGAGGTTTTAGGCCTACCGGTAGGTTTGCGCTCCCTCCCCGCCTTGAGCCACCAGAGGGCTGAGGGAGGTAGGGGTGGCCTAGCCGTGTCCTGCCGGTGGGGAGCGGTGCGCTGGGTTAGCGCTGCCCCGACCGCTTCCCAGCCCCCTTGGCCGGTGCGTCCCGGGGACGGGAGCGCTGCTCGGCCTGGGGCAAGGCGTGAAGGTTTCAGCCGAGAAGAGACCGGAAGGCCGGGCTTCCGCGTCGGAAGTTTATCTCCGGAGGAGCGGCGTCCTTCAGGGCGGGTTGCGAAACGCGTTTTCCCTGCCTTGTGTTACCGGGCGGGAGCACGGACTGCCCGTGCGCTGCTGCCTGCTCGGGGGCTGCGGGGAAGCGCTGCAGCGGCGGTACTTGAGAAGCGGGTAGGGGTACTTGAGAAGCGGGTAGGGGTACTTGAGAAGCGGGTAGGGGCACTTGTGCAGCTGCTGGAGACACGGATCCTCTTTGGGACGCTGCTGCTTAAGCCAGCTAAAAACGCTTCTCTCCCGCTGGTGCCCCACCTTCATTCCTGGCCTCCCCCCTACCTCTGCCAGGCTGTTCGGTTTTATGTTGGAGGTGTAAGTGCTGAGCATTCTGGAGATCTACGTGAGGGAGGCATAGGAGAAGTGGGCATACTGCAGCTCTTGAGCACGCAGCTGGGAACAACTGGCGTATAATCAAATAGAGACGTACATGGTGAAATACAAGATGCTCAGTAGTAAGGTAGCTTCAGGTCGCAAGCTACCCGTGGTGTGTTTTAAACCCACATATGAATACCCTTTATGTTAGAGATCCCACTTTATTATTTTAATGCAGCTTCCTCTTCATCTGATTCCTGTAGAATCCAGGGTGTATTTATGTTGATTCAATGTCTTGCTCGGTATCTGTGTGCTTACTCCTGGTATTTAGTAGCTTCTCTGCAACCATTATGCCTTCTTTACCTGTGCAAGTGGTCTCATTTTGTTGGATTTATGTTTTGCAAAGTTACACTAAAGTTCCGTATCCTGGAACCCATCTCACCTGTGAGAAGGGATTTCTTGGAAGCCTGTGTCTAATCATTGTTACAGTAATCATTCCACAAATTCCGTTATCCTGCCAAAATAACTTCTCTGTTAACTTGCTAAGAACTCTGTAGCTGACCTTTTACTTCATGAATACTATGTGTCTTTGAAACAATATAAAAAGTATAGTGCTGTTATCATGGTGACCTAAGCATGTGTGAAAGGATAGATACTTTTTTTTTAACCTGGTTGTTAATGTAGAGTGAGCTAAGTTTATATATGTAAAGCATATATACGCTCCTAAACCAAGTACAGTTACCCATAATAATACAACAGTGTACGTGCATGGTCTAATAGCTGTGCACAGTACTTCTTTATTACTTTATTACCTTATTTAGTACATTTCTTAGTATATCTGGAAGAAATTTTCAAGTGCTCTTCAGAAGAAAACCATATTTTTGTGCAGATAATCACTCTTGTGTGCTTCTCTACAGCATTTGAAAAATCTCTTGCATTTGCAGAATTCTTCATGATGATTTAGCCGGCTGTTCCTGAAGAATCACAGTCAATTTTAGATTAAACAAGAATAGTAAGAAAATATCACCTAGTATTTTGGAGTTACTTTTTTAGTGAACAGTGCGAATAAGCATCTGGCCTGTCACCAATTTTCTTATCAACTGCTCTAAGCGTTTCAGAGCCCCCTGGTGCAATTACTAAGCCCGTGGGAAAGCTTGGGTGCTGAACAGGATTCTGCAAGAACCTGACTTTAAGGATGAAGCACAGGAAATGATACAGTTTGTTGCTGATAGACAGCAAATGGCCTGTCTAAATGGAGTTCCTATGGATAGAAAATGCTGTTTGCTTCCTGCTACCGTGTAACTGATAGATCCTAGAGGAAAGCTGCATGTGAACCAGCTTGGGGCAACTTGCCGAGGGTGCTTTATGGAAGCGTCAAACTTATTTGGGCAGCTGACGACTGCAGCAAAACTGGTGAAGGCTGTTGCTAAGTTTGATTGTTGACCAGCATTTAGCTAATTACAGACTGATGGCCAATAGCATAGTTCAGAGTTTTTATCTCTTCAATGCCATTACTGTCTTTTGACATGATTGGTGTGCCACAGCTACACTAACTGAATTGCATGTCCATTTTATCACTGGAAACAGTTGGCATGCTGGTTCTTCAGGCAGTTTGTCAACTGCTTCAGTCCTTCAGAGGCATAAATTATAAAAGACTGTTTTCATTATGTTTACATCCTTCCATCTTCCACTGATGATGTGGGAAGGAATGGGAAGATTCAGTTCATGAACAATTGGCTACGAGACTGGTGCTACAGGCAGGGCTTTGGATTCTTTGATAATGGCTGGTTTTATAGGGCACCAGTCTGGACAATGTCAAGTGAGAAAGGTTTGTCTCACAGAGGCAAAAGGATACTGGGGCACGAATTAGCAGGGCTCATTTGGAGAGCTTTAAACTAGATTCGAAGGGGGATGGGGTTGTTGCTGGGCTTGCCCCAGTGGGGCAGCGCTCCAGAATTAATGAAGACTGGGAGGCCTCCTATAATCCTAGGGTGAAATCGGTGTGCTCAGCTCGCTCCCTGAAATGTCTGTACACCAATGCGCGCAGCATGGGAAATAAGCAGGAGGAGTTGGAAACCTGTGTTAAGTCAGGAGACTCTGATCTGGTGGCAATTACAGAGACTTGGTGGGACAGCTCACATGACTGGAATATAGTCATGGAGGGCTATGTCCTTTTCAGGAAAGACAGGCCAGCCAGGAGGGGTGGTGGGGTTGCTCTTTATGTGCGGGAGGAACTACAATGCACCGAGTTCTGTCCAGGGACAGATGATGAGCGAGTTGAGAGTCTGTGGGTGAGAATTAAGGGGCAAGCTGGCAGGGGGGATACTGTTGTAGGTGTCTGTTACAGACCACCAGATCAGGGTGAGGAAGTTGACGAGGCCTTCTACAGGCAGCTGAGAGAGGCCTCACAGTCACAGGCCGTGGTCATCATGGGGGATTTTAACTTCCCTGATGTTTGCTGGAAGGACCACTCGGCAACCCAGCCGCAGTCCAGGAGGTTTCTCCAGTGTGTGGATGATAACTTCCTCCTGCAAATGGTGGATGAGCCGACCAGGAGAGGAGCGCTGCTGGATCTCATCCTCACTAACAAGGAGGGTCTGGTTGAAGCAGTAAGGGTAGAGGGCTGCCTTGGTTGCAGCGACCACGAGATGGTGAAGTTCAGGATCTTGTGTGGTAGGACTAGTAGAATACCAAGTAGAATTGCAACCCTGGACTTTAGCAGGGCAAACTTTGGCCTTTTCAAGCAATTGCTAGGGGAAATCCCATGGGCAAGGCTGCTTGAAGGAAAAGGGGCCCAAGATAGTTGGTTGACGTTCAAGGACTGCTTTTTCCGTGCTCAAGATCGGAGCATCCCGACACGTAGGAAGTCAAGGAAGAGGGCCAAGAGACCTGTGTGGCTAAATAGGGAATTGCTGGGTATGCTCAAGTGGAAGAGGAGAGTTTACAGGTCATGGAAGGAGGGGCTGGCCACTTGGGAGGAATATAAGGCTGCTGCTAGGGGATGTAGGAAGGCAGCTAGGAGGACTAAGGCTTCCTTAGAATTAAACCTGGCAAGAAGGGTCAAGGACAGCAAAAAGAGCTTTTTCAAGTACATGGCAGACAAAACTAACACCAGAGGCAATGTAGGCCCACTGATGAACGGGATGGGTGCCCTGGTGACAGAAGATGCAGAGATGGCAGAGTTACTGAATGCCTTCTTTGTCTCTGTCTACTCTGCTGCAGGCAGTCCTGAAGAGCCCTGTACCCCTGAGACCTTAGATGAAGTCAGGTCGACGGAGCGACTTGCCTTAGTCGATGAGGAATGGGTTAGAGATCAGTTGAGCAATCTGGACATCCATAAATCCATGGGTCCAGATGGGATGCACCCACGGGTGCTGAGGGAACTGGCGGAAGTCATTGCTAGACCGCTCTCCATCATCTTTACCAAGTCCTGGGAAACGGGAGAGGTGCCTGAGGACTGGAGGAAAGCAAATGTCACTCCAGTCTTCAAAAAGGGCAAGAAAGAGGACCCGGGTAACTATAGACCAGTCAGCCTCACCTCCATCCCTGGGAAAGTGATGGAACACCTTGTCCTTGGTGCCATCTTAAAGCATATCAAGGATAAGAGGGTTATGAGGGGCAGTCAACATGGCTTCACCAGGGGGAAATCATGTTTGACCAATCTCTTAGCCTTTTATGAGGAAATAACACGGTGGATGGATGATGGCAGAGCGGTGGATGTGGTCTACCTTGACTTCAGCAAAGCCTTTGACACAGTCTCCCACAGCATCCTCACGGCTAAATTGAGGAAGTGTGGACTGGATGACCAGGTAGTGAGGTGGACTGCGAACTGGCTGAAGGAGAGAAGCCAGAGAGTTGTAGTCTATGGGGCGGAGTCTAGTTGGAGGCCTGTAACTAGTGGAGTGCCTCAAGGGTCAGTACTGGGACCGGTATTATTTAATATATTCATCAATGATTTAGATGAGGGAATTGAGTGTACTATCAGCAAGTTTGCTGATGACACTAAGCTGGGAGGAGTGGCTGACACGCCAGAAGGCTGTGCTGCCATCCAGCGAGACCTGGACAGGCTGGAGAGTTGGGCAGGGAATAACGGGATGAAATATAACAAGGGAAAGTGTAGAGTCCTGCATCTGGGCAGGAACAACCCCAGGTTCCAGTATAGGTTGGGGAACGACCTGCTAGAGAGCAGTGTAGGGGAGAGGGACCTGGGGGTCCTAGTGGACGACAGGATGACCATGAGCCAACACTGTGCCCTTGTGGCTAAGAAGGCCAATGGCATCCTGGGGTGTATTAGAAGGGCGGTGGTTAGTAGGTCGAGAGAGGTCCTCCTTCCCCTCTACTCTGCCCTGGTGAGACCCCATCTGGAATATTGTGTCCAGTTCTGGGCCCCTCAGTTCAAGAAGGACAGGGAGCTGCTGGAGAGAGTCCAGCGCAGGGCAACCAAGATGATTAAGGGAGTGGAGCATCTCCCTTATGAGGAAAGACTGAGGGAGCTGGGTCTTTATAGTTTAGAGAAGAGGAGACTGAGGGGTGACCTTATAAGTGTCTATAAATATATAAAGGGGGAGTGTCACGAGGATGGAGCCAGGCTCTACTCAGTGGCAAACAATGATAGGACAAGGGGTAATGGGTGCAAACTGGAACACAAGAGGTTCCACTTAAACTTGAGAAGGAACTTCTTCTCAGTGAGGGTGACGGAACACTGGAACAGGCTGCCCAGGGAGGTTGTGGAGTCTCCTTCCCTGGAGACATTCAAAGCCCGCCTGGAGACATTCAAAGCCCGCCTGGACACATTCCTGTGTAACACTATCTAGGTGTTCCTGCTCTGGCAGGGGGATTGGACTAGATGATCTTTTGAGGTCCCTTCCAATCTCCAGCATACTGTGATACATCTTAAAAACTGGCAAAACAGTTGTGCTTAAAATCACAGTAGCAACATCAATTGTGCATTGAATTTGCAGCACTGGTTTGAAAATCCAACAGTTGATCTTTGTGTTGTACGTAGACAACTTGTCTACAATATGTTGTCTACAATACTGTGCCTGTTTTGTCAATCTGTAGTTGTGGTGTGTCACAAATACATGTATATCCTTTGAGCAGATCTCTACAGTGCACTTTTTATCCCCACGAAATATAGTTGTATGCTAGACCTTGATGGTAGTTAATTGCTGCATATGAATGGAACAGTACTTATATTTACCGTTCTGTTGCTTTGAACATTTTATATGATGTGATTTGGTGATGGATGTTGACAAAGAGTGTGAAGTACTTGGTTCTATGATGCTTGTCAATGAGAAATTGTCCTGATAAAAAGCACAGGTTGTATCAGGATCAGTTTTAAGCTTGCCTAAGCTAGGCAGATGGGGCAAACTGCTAAGCTTGACAGAAATCATGGCCATAAGGCACACAAGAGAAATCCTCTGGCCATGGCTGTGTGCTTGACCTCTGCAGCCTTTCCAAGCCCCATCTTTGTGGAACAGTTCTCTAGTTACTGATCTCCTTCCTGCATACTCAGCCTGCTACGCGAGTACCTCCTCTACTGCTGCTGGGAAGATGGGCGCTGCCACAGAAGCGGATTTTTCCATGCGAGTAATGAGGACAGAATAGAGTTTTTATCCTCATCTTTCCGAGTGACAAATTTCAGTTCTCCTTATGCTTCTGATGCTGTGCCAGTTCTGTTTATCGGAACCCCGACAAGCCGTATAGGTTTTTTATGAGTTTAGTGAAAGGATAGGCAGTTTATGCAACTGAAGGTCTTTTTTCTTAATAGATTTATACAGTCTGAAAAAGCCTTCATGCAGGTAATATACTGTGCTTCTGAGCTGGAGGCCTATGCAATGTCCTGAAAGCAGGCTTTCATCCAGTGTTTGGTATATGTTTTTTTTGCCCATAACCTCAAGTCTGTAGCTTTAAAATTAAAGGGCAGTTTGTGGCTTGTGAGCTTTACTGAACTGATTTCAGTGCATGTTTGGAGCATGCTGATTTTACTTAAAATCTCTTAATTCCATGCATTCCTGTGTAGGCAGATGTAAGATCTGGCCTTACAGAACCTCCAAAGTTTGGTTTCTGGGTTTGTTTTTTTTTGATATTGCAGCTTGTCCCATGTGTGAGATCTTGAACATAATCTAATTTGTAACTTGAAATTTGTTATTTCCAGCACAACTTCCCTGCAGCCATTTAATCTGTTGCAGATGCAGGAGCTTGCTTTCACCCAGTTTATGGCTCCTGTAGGTCCTCTGTTTATGGGAAGTAATTTTCTAGGCAGCAAACATTAACTTTGTCTCAAATTATTTCCTTGCAGGAAGCTGCACAAGCCTTGATTTATGCCGGGATGGCAGGGTCCAACTTGGAAAATATTCAAGAAAAAATAAATGAGTACTTGGAAAGGGTTCAAGCTCTTCATTCAGCAGGTGGGTAAGGACCATTCTAACTAAACCTATGCGTAAATTTATTGAGTGGAAAGCCTTTCAGTGCTGTGAAATATGTATCAATGATGTGTACTGGTTTTCATTATTCTGATTTCCTTGTCTTTTGTGAAGGACGACAAATAAAGCAAGCACATCAGTGCTTTGGATTCTTATATGTCAGAAATGAAGTGGAGATTTACTTCCTAAGGATGTGGGTGTGGGTATCTTTTCCTTTTAAATATTCTTAGGAACCACAACTGCAGAGCAAACCTGAAAAAGTAATTCAATATAGCAACAAAAAATGTTCAGGAACAAACCAAAACTCACATCTAAGCCTCAGCTGCATGATGGATGTGAAGCAAGTGGGTTCTGGTATTCATGTAGAATTACTAACTTTGAGAGGGCAAAGAGCCCTTTGCTCTCATAAAGGTTTCCTTGTTTGATCTAGTTTTGGTGTTTATGCTTACACCAAAATCTCAAATTTTTGTACATCTGCAATTCTCAGTTAGAAGCATAGAATCACTTGGCCAGAAAGGGGCCTTGGGAAGTCTATAGACCAATCTCCTACTCAAATCACTGTAGACTTTGATTTTTGGACCAGGTTGGTCAGGTCCAGTCAAGTCTTCAAAATGCCTGAAAACAGAAATCTCCTTCAGGTCATTATATTAAATTATATTAAAGGTAGACACCTGAGGAACTTCTGTGTTACCATAGGTGACATATTTTCACAAATGGTGCAATATTTTTTGGGTTGAAACTAGATGATCTTAAGGTCCTTTCCGACCCAAAGCATTCTATGATTCTATTTTGCATAATTAAACATCCTTGTCCTTAATATAGTATGAAAGAGGTTTTATTTACATTGACTTGTGAAATACCCTGAGAGTGTATCTCTTCTTCAGGGGGTGGTAGTGGTATTGGTTTCTTGTCCTTGCAAAGATGTTTTTAGCGAAGTTAAGAAAGATTTGCTTTCCAGCCAAGAAATAGGTACTGCCTATCTGATTAGAACTGCCAGTGTTTCAGTACCCATAGCTGTTTTTACATATCTGCTGCTGTAGAAAGCTAAATACTTTCTTTTTCATTTAGTTCAGTCACAGAACACAGACCCTCTGAAGTCAAAACAACAGTTGGACTTGGAGCGTGCTCACTTCCTAGTTACACAGGCTTTTGATGAAGATGACAAAGACAATGCAGAAGAAGCTATAGAGTTGTACACAGAAGCAGTGGAACTCTGTTTGAAAACAGTATGTTAAGCTACAGATTAACTTGGTGGAATTATGTGATGGTAAGAAATTCTTCCACTTATGCAAGTGACTGGCCCTTAAAGGCTGGCTTAAAAATGGAGTACCTGTATTTCTAAAACCTGATTTTTAATTGGTTTGTTGGTTTTATGTTTTTGGGTTTTTAGTTTGTTCTTTTTTACTTCTTCCACTGTTTGTTTTTTTTTTTTGTTTTGTTTTGGGGTTATTTTTTGTTGTTGTTTTTTGTTGGTTTTTTTTTGTTTGTTTCTTCTAGGATTTGTACTATGTTGCTATTCAACAGTGTAAATTCATGGGGACTTGAGATTTATGTGTTTTTCCTGAAATGGATTATACTAAAACCTAGAAGTATTCTGTAACTGTTTGCATGTTAATTTTTGCTCTGGAGCAGATGCAACACTAAAACAGAGATTAAACCAGTTAAAACGGGAGATGGCTGGCTGATGTGTCAGCTGTATTGCTTTCTGACTACATTAAAGGAAGCAATTTAAGGGGAATTTTTGTGTGTAACAGTTTCTGAGAAAATAACAGACTCCTGATGCCAAAACTGGTAAAAATACTACTTGATTACTCAGTGCTTGACATTAAAGCTGTTACATGTGAATTTAATTCACACTGAAATTAATGGTAAGGATCAATTGGCTATTATGTAAATGATGAAGAATGTAATTACAGGTACTGCTTTTTTCCCTTAAGTCCAGTTGCCTTAAATCACTCATTACAGGAAGAGGCTCACCATCATAATGTAACTCCACCAAGTCTGTTTTTCTCTTTTTTTTTCCTTTTTATAATGTAAATATATGTGGGTTGTTGGGAGGGGAGTGTTACATTTGTTAAATGCTAGAGTAAAATCTTCTTTCTGAATTCTGTAAACTGTTATTATGTAGACTAACATACCCTGGTGATAAAGTGTAACCGGATGAGGACTAGAATTGCTCTAGTTTTTTCCGCTTGAGCTGCTGGAGCAGAGCATTTTCAGTCTATTAGATAACATTTACTGCAGCAGCATACTGTTTTTCCTCTGCTGTGTTCCTCCTTCTCTTGTGTCAGTGAGTGCAAATATTACTTACATATACTGAAGTTAGTCTGAAATTATCTCATGTTAACAACTGCCTTTATCACGTATTTCATTAAGTAGAGATACTGGTGAAGTTTCTTTTAATCTTGACTAGCATATGAATTGGCTGAAATGACTGTAGGCTTTGTCCCTCAGGGTGGTCAGAAAGTACCACCTTCTTCCCAGGATGAAAGAAGACTGAAGGAACTCTGCTATCTTGAAGCTTTACTTCTTTCTCCTCAGTATTTCAGGTGGAGAGATTTAGTTCTTCCTTACTCTTGAAGTACTTGGAGAGCAGCCATTCCTCCTCTTCTATGGCTGACTCCTAGATAAGTGTGCTGGTGTTCCTGCTTATCTTCATACATCTTTCAAAGTCCTTTCTAACCAGGAACTCTGGAGTGTAATTTAATTGCAAATGAAAATATTTGCTTATAAAGGGTGTTTCTAGTTTTGTTTCTTGATGTGAAACTAGCTTGCCTTCCGTTTCCTCAGTTGACCTAGCTGACTCAGTAGAATCTGCAAAGGCACAAGTCTAGAACTTGAAACCTGCTTGTGGATGTTAGAGGAGAAGGGACACCTCATGCTGTGCCTCTTGCAGATTCTTTAGCTGCAGTAGCCATGCTTCATCTGTAAGGAAAACAAAAGCATAAACTGTCATAGCTGACCTCCTAACTGAGAAGTTAGGACTCTTGATACCTATTTTAGTGCCCTCTCATAGATTATTTTATGCCTTTGCTTGCAGGTTAAAAATCTTGTTCTTGCACATCTGTCTTGTTTGTTTGTATTTTAAAGTAAAATTGTTTGTTTGAAAGTAAATGTTCAGATTTTTTTTTCCTAAGTTACCATGCTTATTTTTGACTAATTTGGGAAAAGGATTGGAACACATTTAAGCTCAGTAGTATGGATAACATTTGTTTTTGTCTTCTTTCTGCTCATAATGTTTTAATATAGTTAATTCTTCTGGAGAATTGTTGTTGTGTACAGTGTTTCCCATGCTGAAGAATTTTAAATACCATTTATGGTCTAGAAACGCTTACTTAGAACAGCAAAATTACATTTGCTCACTTAGGATGCTTTTTATACTAAGATATAAAAAAAAAAAAAAAAAAACCAAACCAAAAAAAACCCAACACATTTGCTCATCTCAAAAGAGAATTGGAAAAAATAACTAGTTGCTCTTTGCTGCAACCTGTAAGTGTGGAATTTTACAAACTGAGCTTATAAAACTGCTGGGTTTTTTGGATATGTAGGTTTTTCCTTTTATTTTGTATTTAAGGCTACTGAAACTTCAGAAGCAGGCCTCCAGTCCAAGCTGAAACAGCTGGCTCGACAAGCACTGGATAGGTGAGTACTGCTAATGTTAGTGAAGATACTTGCTGTCAGGTCTAAATGTGCTCTATGGGTTGGATTCTCAATCTAGCATGTCTATTCTGTACTGCAAACTATGGATTTTGAGTAAAGTTTGCTCCTGTAGAGATCTCCTTGCAGATAGCTGCCAGCTGCTATGCCACTGACTACAGCAGCTCTTGTGCCAGCCCTGTGGGAATATTGGGGCACACAGAATTAGGAAAGGACTGTGTATTTGTTGGTACCAATCCACTACTTCAGTATTCAGAGATATAAGTTGGAGTACTCTACTACAATTATTGGCTTTTATAAAAATGCTGAAACACAGAGATGTGTTTCACATTCTGTGTGAAACACAGAGAAACGGATAGGGTGTCAATGTCCCTTCATCAGGAAGACAGTTTGGAAACTGGGACATGCCTATCTTGATGGTAGGAATCTAATTGTAGTGTAGGTATAGTGAAGTGGAGTCTATATCTGAAATGAATTACACGAGCATAAGTTCACTCTTAATTCTTTTCAAATCAGCTGTTTGGTGCTGAATAATGGACTGTGTTGGGCTACATTTCAGCATAAGCTCATTTTTAGCATTCTCAGTCTGTGTTAAGAAACAAACAAAACTTTTTGCATGTATGTGACTATCTATCAGCTTAATGCAACAGCAGCAAACATAGCTTCTGAATACACAGCCTTCAAGCCATTGAAATGCTGGGTTGTGAGAATGCTAGTGGGTTTTTTTCTGCTTTTGTAGCTGTTAGACAAATCAAATACTGAAGGTATGAGGGGATGCATATCAGTTTTCTCTGCCTGTGTTTCAGTGGCCCCGTTCATTACCTGGAAGCTCAGAACACCTACACCAATTCTCCTATTAACATAATTTAAAGGCAACTGTTCTGGTTTTGGCTGTGATGGAGTTAATTTTCTTCCCTGGTAGCTGGTATAGTGCTGTGTTTTGGCACTAGTCTGAGAATAACGCTGGTAACACACCAAGGTTTTAGTTGTTGCTCAGTAGCAATTACTGTGATCAAGGAATTTTCAGTCTCTCATGCTCAGCCAATGAGGAGGGGCACGGGAAGCCAGGAGGAAGCAGAGACAGGACATCAGACCCAGACTAGCCAAAGGGGTATTCTGTGCCACAGCATGTCGTGCCCACTATAGAAACTGGGGGCAGTTACCCAGAACGGATGAATCACTGCTCATGTTGGGCTGGGTATCAGTCAGCAAGTGGTGAGCAGTTGTGCATCACTTGAGTTTATTGTTCTTTTTGCCTTTTTCCTTTTGGTTTTATATTCTTACCCCTTGTTATTTCCCTTATTACCACTATTAGTAGTGTTATACCGTAGTTCAGTTATTAAACGGTTCTTATCTCAACCTGTGGGTTTTTCATTCTCTTGATTCTCTTCCCCATCCCACCTGTGGCAAGGGGAAAAGTGGGTGGGGGAGCGAGTGTCTGTGTGGTGCTGAGGTAACCATGACAGCAATAAAAATCTAGTGAGTTCTGCCACAAGTAGTTTATATATGAGTTGGAAAGGCTATATTTTAATTTACTCTGGAACATGCAGTAATACTGGCATCAGAAATTGATTTCTTTTCTTAGAAAAGTGGTGGAGGCCAACTTGGCATTTGTTCATTCCATTTAACATATGTGGGAACATGAACCAAGCAAATCAATTATTGAACCATAACTGCTTTTCTGTCATTGTAAACAATTTTTATTTGCTTTAGAGCAGAGGCACTGAAGGAATCTACGTCAAAGTCATCTCAGAAGAAGTCAACTGCAGCTAAACCAAATCATCCAGTCAGAACATTCTTTCCACTGGGACCTGATTTTTCTTTAAATGATAAACCACAGACAATCAGAGCAGTGCAGGCTAGTGAACCTCAAGGTCAGAGATACACTGCAGAGGAGATTGAAGTGCTGAGGTAAGTTGGAGACAAGTTTTTCCAAATTTCATCATTTGTGCTCACATCCTTTGTGCATCTTACCCTGTAGCACGAGGTTATAAGCAGAAGGTTGGAAACCCAGTTCTTGCCTCATTTTTGGTATTATCTACACATTAATAAATGGATTTATTATTTATGGTGATGTAATTAGTGGCTTTTGTGGGAGGGGGTTGGAACTGGATGATCTTAAGGTCCTTTCTGGCCCAAACCATTCTGTGATTCTGTGATTTGATTTGAAAATATTTTGCATAGCTGTTTTCAGTTAATTCTTTGTTTGAAACTGAAATTACATTCATGTTTAAATATGATCCTCATTTTTTAGAAGGTGTTCTGTGCATTTTAGTAAAAAATGTATTGATAAAAGTGTGCAGTATTTTTGTTGTTGTTTGACAAAGTATTCCAGAATAACTGCCCCAAATCTGGTGTTGCTAATTATTAATTGCTGTCAACTTACTCTAAAACTCTCTTTAATGAGAGGCCTAAATGACTTGAGAAATTCCATTTAGGCAAATGTAGTTTTAAATGTGACTTCTAAAAGTAGCAAGAGGTTTGTGGCTCATAATCATTTTTATCCTGGCATGGAGACTTGTCTGCAGATATGTACATGCAGGATTAGTGCTGAGTCGTCAAGTACTGCGCGTTTCAAACCCAAATAAATATAATGGTGGTTTCATTTTTAACAGGTATTTTCACAGGCACTGTGTCTTGTTTGTTTTTAAAAACCTAAGTTTGTTGTTACATTCTGGAACTCAGTGTTTGAAAGAACATAGACATGTTTGTAACTTCTTTTTTCTTTTGAATTACAGGAAGACTTCAAAAATTAATGGCATTGAATATGTACCTTTCATGAGCGTTGATCTGAGGGAACGTTTTGCCTTCCCTATGCCATTTTCGTAAGTGTGATTCAATTACTGAACTTTACTTTTGTTTTTATTTCCAAAGCTTTCCCATATTTGGTGTTTCTATGTTTTGTTTTCCAGAGTTTAAAATGGTTTGGATAGGCTTTTAAGCATAATTCAGGGAGAGAGATTTAAATACTACCACTTCCTTCTTCTAGTCTGATTGTAAAATTTCAACATAAGCTGATCCAGTTGTGCACTGTTTTTTGCAGTTGTATCTCCAAGCCCAGAAGGACAATATTTTATTTGGCTTTTTAGAATATTAGGCTGGACCACCAGTTTGGGTCAGTTTCCTGTTTCTGCTGCTTCCTAATGAGTTTAGCTCCCTCCCTCTCAGTTACCTGTAAAATGAAAGTGATCGAAAATTCCTCTATAAAAGGACTGTTCTGAGGAAGAGTGCTATGTAACTGTTAGACCTTCATTCATGAGCAATAATAATATGTTAAGATTCCATAGCTATAGTATACAAAAACACTGGGGTTGGTTTTTGGGTTTGGGTTAGTTTAGTTTGTGGCTTTTTTTTTTTTCCACTAATGGCTTGTCAAACAGATAAGCCTTGGTATTTAGAACTAAAGAAACTTTTTATTATTAGTTTATCATACTGAAATAAAGTGAAGAATTTGAGTTTCTGCTATTGTAGATAGCTTTTTGGAATCCAGTTCTCCTGTATGAAGGAAGTTCTTGGGTTGCATTTCATGGTTTTAATATTTTTGCTTTTTCTCTCTAAAAATCACAAACTTTGAAGTAGTGTTCTTTGAATTTGTTTTACAGCTCTGTATATAAAACTGTGTAATTGTTCTGCACATATTTTGCACCATCTATCAGACATATACAAGACTAGGCATAACATGAAAAGCTTTTCTAAACTGCTGATTTATTTCTACTACTGACTTATTTCTACTCTTTTTCTCTCTTAAATCTAGTGATAAATGTGGGAAGCTACCATTATCCCCCAAACAGAAAGCAATGTTTGCTAAGTGGGTGCGACCAGATGATATAACAAATAACCCCACGATGATTTATACTGTATCAAGTTTCAGCATAAAGCAGGTAAGTTGTTCCTAAAGAGAAAAGTGTGCTGCTAGCAGTGTATTGCAGGGGACCTTCTTGTTCAAAAAAGTATCCCCAAATGTGGGAGTGCTTTCCATGGTTCTCATGAGATTAAATAACTAGTATCACTTAAGATTCCATGCATTTTCTAGCCATGAGAATAAACAGCTGTGTTAGCACACAATGAAAATCAAAATCTTAATTCCAGCAGAAAATCCTATTTTCCAGAAATAGTGGTTAGGAAGAAAGGTAAGGTTACTCTGCAGCAAATTGTTCATTTAATTTACTGCATGGAAAAAAATAATGAGTGCAATTATTAAGTTTTTATTAGACAGGAAGCAGGGTGACCTATTGAGAATCATGGGAGCATCTTGCTGTGTGGAGTTGCAGATGGCCCAAGCTACACTGGAATCAACAGTAGAATATGCCATTGGATATGGTTTATATTATGCAGTTCGTTTTGGGTAGGGGGGAGGAAGTGTGAGTGAATGCTGAAGTATCTGCGCTTGTCTCCGATTCTCACTAGTAATTCTAACTGGTTTGCTCTGTAGGGACCTTGTGTTGAGCAAGCATACATTTCCTGTCTTTTTAGGAGTAACTTTGCTTCTCTTGGTTGAAATCTTTCCCATTTGAAGGGAAAAATTAACTGATGATTTTCCTTCCCTCCACACATCCCATTTGTTTTTCAGTATCTAAGTTATTAGTAAATGTCCTCACTGGCTTTCTTTTCTTTATAGACAATCGTGTCAGATTGCTCTTTTGTGGCATCACTAGCTATCAGTGCAGCATATGAAAGAAGATACAACAAAAAATTGATCACAAGGTAAGTAGCTGTTGCTTTCTAAGATCCTTTCAGACTTAATAACTGCCAAGCTTCTGCAGTATGTATGACAGTTGCAGCTGGACACAGTAAAAACCAGCACTTTTTTCACTTTCATCTCCTTGGGACTTGTGGCTTCAGCACTTCTGAGAGGGAGGCCAGCTTTATAGAGATACGTATGCAGACACTGGAGTTTAACTTTGGATGTGCTTGGAGGAGTTTTAAATAGTTTGGAAGGTTTTGTTGGGGTTTTAATAGAAATTTTACTTTCTAATGCTTTATATAATGCAAATTTTCCTACTTTGCTGTGCCAGCTGCTGTGCAACAGGCATAGCATCTCACTGTAGAATTAATGTTAACAGCGCTGTCTCAGTTCCACTTGACTGGCATCCTGTGATAAATTGGGCATGGCTTTTGCCACTGCCAAGAGCCTGTTGCCAGACCAGTGTGTAAACACTGTTCGTGGTATTTTTTGGTTTAACCTATACTCATCAGAACTGAACTTGTTCTTTTTTGAGAGCAATGAGTTCTGTGCTGAATTCTCCTTCTTCAAATGTTTGACTTGTCATTCAGGCAAATACCGTATTTATACTACAGATGAATAAATAGCATTTGTTTAATAGTAAGGTAAATTTGTTTGCCTTGCTTCTGGTGGAGAAACAATTAGGTTACTTATATTCTCTTTATTGCTATATTAAGCAGAGAACTGCAGCAAGAGCAAGGCCTGAAAAGTAAGACCTGTTTAAACATCTTTGTTGTATTTACTGAATTAAAGTTGCTCTACCATATGTATGTTGAATGTAAATTCTAGAAATAGACTGTGTTAATCCCATTTCTGTTATCAGTGTGTGTGCAGCCAAGATATTTATGTCATAATTTCTTTTTTTTTTCTCTTTAACAGTATCATTTACCCTCAGAATAAGAAAGGAGAACCAGAATATAATCCATGTGGCAAATACATGGTAAAGCTTCATATCAATGGTGTACCTAGAAAGGTAAATGGTTTGGGGAGACTTTTATTCTGGTAATTACACTGAATATTTCTGTGGCTACCTTTCACTGAATACAATAGGTATTCAATATTGTACAAGAGAGTACTGTCTTCATCCCCATTTTACATAGGAGAAAGCAAGGCATGTTATCACAGGTCACCTATAGACCTGGAATAGAATTTCTTGTTCACTTGGGCAAACCATTGCAGGATTGTTAGAGGTTTCCATATGCGAGAATGATGGTCGGGGCTGGTTGTGTCTGAAAAGCTGTATATTTATGTAAGTTTGGGCTTATTTCTTAAAATACTTCCAAAATACTTTATTGGCATTATGATCATTTTTCCTTTATTTCCCACAGGTAATCATAGATGACCAGTTACCTGTTGATCATAGTGGAGAACTTCTCTGCTCTTATTCTAACAATAAGAATGAATTATGGGTATCATTAATAGAAAAGGCTTACATGAAGGTCATGGGAGGATATGATTTTCCTGGATCAAATTCTGTAAGTATGTGATTATTTCTAAAAGGCAAAAAATTCCTCTTGGATAATCTTGGGTCAAATAATTTTGTTTCTAGTGAATTCAAAGTAAATTGCTTGGGGAGGCAAGTATTTGGTTTCACATTTTCTTGTTTTTTTCTTTTTCTTTCTTTCACAAATATGCCTAGCTCTACTGTTTCATGGTTATGGTTGGGAAGGACATGTATTTGTATAATCTAGATGACTGTGTTGGGTGAAGTAATTATTTTTTGCCTGTTTCGGTATTGCTGATTTTGGTTTCTAACTGTCATTCAGTAGATAGGGCAGTTGGTTAGGAAAGGAAGAGGCTAGTCATTTAGTACATATATATATATAGAGGGAGCAAGTACTTTGATCTGTGCAAGTTTGTTTATCAGATTTACACTCCTTTACAGAAATATGTGTTGGGTTCCTATAATGTGGTTCCTAAAGAAATAGTCATTGTACTGCAGCTAAAATGACATGCAAACTATTCTTCCAAAGGACAGGTTACTGAAATGGGCAGCCCACATAATATTCATCTGTCACTTAGGAAGGATTTCTGATTTTAATTTAAAATTGCTTAAAATTTTAACACTATATTTTTATTTCATGGTGCTGTCCACATTCTAGTTGATGTCTTAATAATTACATTCTTGGAGGATATACTAGGTAATCATTGTCTTTTGAAAAATGATAATGGAGGCAAGTGTGGCTTTGTATAAGGGGTAAACTTGTCATACATTTTTATGTTTTATGTCAGTGTTAGGCTGCTTTATTTTGGAGGACAGAGTCTTATTGTTAATAATCTTATTATTCTCATTATTGTCCTATAACTTGCTATCTGGAAGAACAGCTTGACTTCTGACATTTAATCTCCACCCTTCCTGCCCTTTTTCGACTGTATTATAGCTTCCTTGTATAATCAGGCTGTGGTGTACTTGTAATTCCTCAGGTTCCTACTCACCAGTGCTGGTTATTAACACTTTAAGCATTTATAGTTTCTCCTTTTGCTTTGAGGAGTACAAAGCGAAAGAAAAGGGAATAATCAATATTTCAGGGAGATAAAATGGGGAGATTAAAGTGGCCTTTTATGGAAATACATGTCAGTGTCAGCTTTACCAAAAAGGATAAAAACCCAACCCTGAGCCTTAGAAGTAAAACTTAAGAAACTTCAAATGCAGGTGCAATAGCAAAGTTGCAGATGGTTTCTGAGACTGTGCTTTAAAAAGTCTCCGAATCAATTCAGTAAAACACATCATAGAATTGAGCACAATAGATCATTCTCTTATGCTTCTTCCATTGCTCTGAAATTAGTTTTTCATTAGTTCACTTAGGTTACTTTCCAGCTTTTGTCCTAACCTCATCAGATAAGGTTTTCTTTGTTTTATATAGTCTTAATCTTGAGCCTTTAATGTGTAGAGCTATACTGTAACTTGTGTATACTTGATTTCTTTCAAGACGTTTTTATAACCTGTGTACAGACATCATATGCTTATAGGTGGATCATCTGCCCTGATTTCTTTTGAATGTTTGCGTTTCAGAATATTGATCTCCATGCACTGACTGGTTGGATACCTGAAAGAATTGCTATGCACTCTGACAATCAAGCTTTCAATCAAGATAGTACTTTCAGAATACTTCATCAGAGGTAGAAGTTTTTCATTTCCTAAGTACTTAAAATGCTTGCTGTTTAGTAGCTGTGTTACCACTCTGAAAGCAGTACAGTCACCACAGATCCTTAATAGCATTTTGGTACTGCTGCAGATTGTGCTTTATAAGGCCTCCACGTTGCTTTCTGGAAGAAGATTTGAGATACTGGTGGTTTTGATTGATAGAACAGAAGAGTGAAATATTGTGGAATTTTATTTGAGGTGATTTTTCCTCTTTCCATTTGAAGAAAAAGAGTAGTAGCCATTTCTTGATGAAGAAAATAGGATATAGAGTCAGAGAAGAGCAGCTTGGAACCAATATACAAGCTAGAAGTGTTCAAAAAGTAGAAGGACATGCATTCTGTGTTCCCCCAGAGTTCTTCAGATCTTTGGCATTGATCTGCTGTCCTTAGCAAGTGGATATAGTATAGTATTTCTAATCATATCACAAGACCTTGGTTATTATACCCCAGTAATCTCCTGGAGGAGCAGCAGAAGTCTTTCAAAACTGCAGTAGTGATCTTCAGATGTGTGAAGAGTGTCTTTAAAAAGGTGACAGAGATTGAACTTCAGGTTGATAAATGATGATTTTTATTTATAAAAATATGAAATGATGAAATTGTATGAAAATATATTTTTCATTTGAAGCCTATACTTAAATACTGAAAGAAAATAGTTTCACTTTCTCAAGCTTTTTCAGTAGTGGTTTCTGCTGATGAAAATGTTATTCCAGTTTTTATAAAGCAGGGTCACACTAATAATGTAAAAACGTATTATTGCAATATCTGGCAAATGTTAGTTTGAAACTTGCAAGATTTTAAATTAAAAGCTATTTTAATTTATTTTAGCTTTTTTAAAAGCTAATTTTAAATTAAAAGCTATTTTTCACCTCTCTTTGAACAGATTTCACAAGGGAGATGTCCTTATCACAACAGCAACAGGGGTGATGTCTGAAGAGGAAGGAGAAAAATGGGGTTTAGTTCCAACCCATGCATATGCAGTCTTGGATATAAGGGAATATAAGGTATCAATGTGAAAACATCTGAAAAGATGCCTGTTTGAAAACTGCCTGCAGTGGATAGCTGTGGATTTTTTTCTCTGATGGCTGCTATAGTTTATTGTCTTGAGCTCCATTGGGAAGTTCCAGAAAGCTTAATGATGCTCTATTTTCTTGAGTGATTAGTCCATATTCTATGTTAATATAAATATAAAAATTACCTTGAGAAGATAAATCCAGCAATTTTATTTCTTTAGGGACTTCGGTTTCTTCAGCTGAAAAATCCCTGGAGTCACTTACGTTGGAAAGGACGATACAGTGAAAATGACACAAGAAATTGGACCCCAGATTTACAAAAATACTTGAACTTTGATCCAAGAACAGCTCAGAAAATCGACAATGGTAATAAGGCTTAAAAAGTCCCTGTCTTTTCAGATAATATAGTTCTTTGTGGAAAGAAATGCTTAAGTACAAGGAGAGGGAGAGTAAAACTAAATAGCTTAAAAGTTTAGGAAGTCTTTGTGTATTTAAATCTATAATTTCGGGTTTGTCTGTGGTTTAAGTTTAATCTGGACTGTTTAAAATAGATCAAATTAACTGACAAGAAATTATCTCCTTGCTTAAATGCTGCTCTCTCAGTATCTGGGCATGGGGAGGTCAGGGCAAAGATAATATTCTGATAATAAGCTGCATAATGCAGCTCTTTAATACATGAATAGACCTTTTGTGGTTTGGGGTTTTTGCCTCCAAAATTTGTGAATATGTGTCAAAATGCTTTTTATAATCAGTATTTAAATACAGTCTTGCCTGTATTTGAGTTTATGAAGTGGAGGTAAGTGGTGGGTTTTTTTTTTCCTTGCATTACATTAATATATCCACACCAAATCTTTATGTACACTCTATTTCTGGCTTTAAGAGTAGATCAAGACCTGTCTTTGAGACAGTGGTACTGCTATGTTACTGTCCAGAAAAAACAATTGGAATGATGCCTAGCATTGTCTCGTTCCATCTTCCTTGGGGAGCAACAGTGTAGCATCTGGAAAGTCAGTGTGGGTTTGTTGGTGGGTGGGCCTTCAGAAATTCTGCAGAAGCTCTTTCTGTACATTCAGAAAGAGATACCAGCTCTTTTTATAGCATCCTAGGTGCTACCTGCGTAGCTCTGTAAGGGAGCTCTTTTGTTAAGCGCCACTCTATTTTTTGACAGCAGTGTGCATCCAAATGCATTAAGTTATAACATTTATTGTTAAAATTCATACAAATGTATAAGGAAAACTTTTTGATTTAATTGTAAGAATAGCAGCCCTGGCTTTGTGACACAGGAGATTAGCTCATTATTTTGGGTTGGGTTTCTTAATTGTTGCAAGATCTGCAGCTGCCTCTGTCACAGACTTGAATTACAAGGCTGTTACCTTTTTGAGAGCTCATTTCATCAGGAATCTGTCAGCTTGCAGGTGGTGGTCTTGGTTGGAGTTGCAATTAGAGGTGCTATGGATAATTAGATTAAACACATGAGAATGTTGTAAAGATAAAGCAGATTTGGGCTGCCAAAGCAAGTCATGTAGGTGGTGGATGAAGTATCATAGAAGTACATTCAAACATACTCACATGTTGATTGAATACTTGATTGTGTTGGATGAGTATTGAAGTAACTTGTTGAATTGGGGGAACCTTTTAGGCTATGTAATGATTTTTAAAATCTTGTTAGGTTTTTAAAATTCTATGAGAAACCTAGAAAAGGAGGAGGCAAGGCTGGAATCATCTGTGATGTCTCTTTCAATACAACAGATCCTCTTATTATGCTTGAGAATGCTTGAGAATGAAAAGTGTCCTGACAGCTTCAAAAAGTCAGGAGACTGCCTTTTTGAAACTAACTTGGTTTAACATGTTTGTTTTGGGGGTAAGTTAAAGTTTAGAAACATACAAGGTTTTACAGAAATGTTGGTTTATATAAACTGTATTTATTTGCCTGGAAAGAGGCAAGTAAAATCAAGGTGTCTAGTAAGGAAACAATAACAGCATGTTGTTTGTAGGCATTTTCTGGATTGCCTGGGAGGACCTGTGCCAGCACTATGATGTTATTTATTTGAGTTGGAACCCAAGTCTTTTTAAAGAATCTACGTGTATTCACAGGTTGGTCAAATAGAGAAAACTTTTGTGTCGGTATTGCACTGAATATTCTGATGTGGTGTTTCCTTCCTGCCGTTCTTCCTAGTTACAGCTGGAGAGGTGAGCTTCAACCATGCTCTCTTGAGCCTCACTTTTTATGCCTTTAAACTGTGAGCCCAGGCTTTGTTTTTGACTACTTCTGTAACATCATTGAAACTCCAGTGACCTTTGTGTTGTTGCTGTGGACCTAAGGCTGTATAACCAGATTCTGACTCCCACCTCTCTCTAGGAGAATAGAAATCAGATTTTTGTGCAGTCTCTCTTTAAGCAAGTGGCCAGACAGTGCTTGAGTGACCTAGTTTTTATCTGGAATTCATTTTCTTGGCCAGTTGTAAGTTGGTTGTGCAGTGCTTGTTGTCTTTACAGGGTGTGTTCACTGATGTCAGGAGTTTAATTCTGTTTTTCCCCAGTTGCAGTTATCATAAGTAATCTTCCTTGCCGAGTTTGTTTTTTCCTGAACACGATACTTGTCTCCTACCTAGTATCGATCATACTCGGTGTTTTTGTCCCCCAGTTTGAAGATGTGTGTGCCTCAGTTTCAGAAAGCAAAGGTTTCTCTATTTTTCTACTCATACTGCACTTTGCCACTGCTTTCACGCTGTTTCTGCATATGTTAGCTCTACACAGGCTCCTTCATCCATAGTGTAACTACTGAGCTTATCTGCAAAGGCTCCTTCCATCTTTGTGTTCAAATTAATTCTAAAATACACTGTGGTGATGTAGCAAGTTAGATAACATGTTTGCTAATGTCAGAGCTCATCTACTAGTCTTTCCTTATATTGTGATTGTCATACCTCTGTATAGGGAAATGCCTAGCACAGTGGCAGGTGCCATAAAAAGCAGAGTAATGATGGTGCTAATTTGAAGCTTAGTTTCTAATGCAGACTTCTATGCCTGCTGTTCAGTTTTAAAAAGGGGGGGGGGCAGTTTGACTTAAGTGGCTTTATCCACTTCTGATCCCAGCATGCCACACTACACTGTATTTTCCTTGTCCGGACAGTTCATGAGGCAGCAGGCAGATTTTGCAATAGGGTATCTCAAAGATCTGTAACATCATCTCATGCAGGTACGCTTCCAAAGAGGAAACAGGTGGAATTTTACACTAAAAATTACCTCAATAAAAAACTGGAGGAATAAAATTTGGCAAGGTTTTGAAAGTAACCATAGCTTATATATGGATTTCTATAGTTACAAAAGCACAGGTGTCTTCTTTCATTTAATGTCAGTGTATGCAATCATGACTATAGTCAGGTAGCTCAGGCTTCTGAATGGTTTGGCTTTTTCTGTGCTTTGTGGGGTTGCAGTCACCATACTGAGCAGCCAAGCTGTTTGTATTGCTAAGTAATTTATAAAACAAAGTTGTAAGGTAATGCTTCTGATGTGATTGTGTTGTCCAGCCACTGCAATAGAGTCCAGTAGAATATTGGCCTTCAGTAACTGTGTTACTGATAATAGATAGCTCTGAATAGATGTAGGATCCCTGGCAGTGTTGAAGGCCAGGTTGGATGGAGCTTGGAGCAACCTGGTCTAGTGGAAGGTGTCCCTGCAGGGGTTGGAACTAGATGATATTTAAGGTCCCCTCGACCTAAACCATTCTATGATTTGATTTTTAAAGCACCAGATAATGTCTTACTCAACTAATCATGTGTCTGCATTACTTCTAGTACTTGGGATGCCAAGCAAGGTCCCGTGAAGGATGCTTACAGCCTGGCTAATAACCCTCAGTACAAGCTAGAGGTCCAGTGTCCACAAGGTGGAGCTGCCGTCTGGGTCCTGCTCAGCAGGCACATCACGGATAAGGTGCTGGGTTCTTTTCCTGTATTGTGAGTTCTGCAGCATCTTCTGTAAGCCTTTCTGTATAGCTTTCTGTTATTAGCATATCACTGCTTATGTTTCTGGTTCAGGTATTTATGTCTATCTATATGTCTACAGTTTAAATCTAGCAGCTACATCCACCTACAGTCAAGACCGTTGAAATAGACCCAGATTAAAAATAGAGCTAAGTGATTATATTCCACTCTAAAGGTTCTGAAGTAACTTTGAATCCTGGGGCCTGAACTGTTATAAATGAAATCAGTGGTGGTTTATTTACTTCAGGTGTTTTAAAATAAGATTGGATTGGGTATCTAAATAAATACTAATATCGGATCATGCCATCTGGTGATCAATGGGGATGATAGAATGTGTACTTGATTCTGATGAAGCGTTACTTGTGTTCCACAGAAGTGTACAAATCTACTTGATTTGTGTTTTTCTTACAGGATGACTTTGCACACAATCGGGAATTCATTACAATGGTTGTATACAAGACTGATGGCAAAAAAGTTTACTATCCAGGTTAGTGTACCTTAATTGCCAAGAAGATTGTTAGAAGGAAATGAAGAATTGCAAAGGATTTTGTGGAGAGAAAAGGCACTTTTTGCTTTAAAACTAGAAGCCTTACCCCAGGAGGTCAGTCTTCTGACACAGTTGTTTAGGTCAATATGTGACCACCTTCAACAGTCTACACTGCAGGAATAAACCAAGCTGTACATGTTGGAAGTGGCAGTAGTTAATGTTTAGAGGGAACAGATGATGTGCTTCTGTTTATCTGATAGCATAATTATTTCCCCCATTTCTGACATTATTTAAAGGATTATGGCTTCCATTAAATGTAAATAATCAAGGTTAATTGTTCTGTGAACTTGGCTTAGTAAAGTTTCTAAGCAGACTCATGAGGTAAAGCTGGACACTTCAACATATGTCAGACTATCAGGTCTGGAATGCTTAAGGAAAGTATTCAGATGTCCACATTTTATGAGTATTACGCTTGGTCCTTCTACATCAGATTCTACTCACCTTGAGAAAAAGGGTCTTGGCTTTTGGAGCTTTGTAGCTGCGAAAAAGCTGTTTGTGTTTTATTTCAAGAGAGATAGGAGATATGAAACATAAGAAGTAAAAGTAATTCCCGGTTGAATGGATAGATTACAACTTTAAGGTAGAGCTAATAATGTTGGGGGGGGGGTGTGTTATTTATTATTTACATCAAGTTAGAGATCTCTGTAAAAGATATTCCTTGGATTTCTTCAGTGAAGGTGCTTCCAAAGACAGGTAGGATTTGGCCTGTTGCTTTTACATATAGGGATCTGCTTTAGAACCAGAGTTGCATTCAGGTAGCTGCTCATATGCAGCAGGTAATAGCAACAGATAATGTGAGAGTAGCTTTTAAAGCTTTTTTCATCAAAGAGTGGTATTTGTGGGGGGGATTCCTTTGGAATGGTTGGTAAGGGTTGCATTATTCATCTGATCTTATTCAGTGTATTCTACTGACCAGTTCCACTAGAATCTGAACTGTCTGCAGAAAGCATCCTTTGAGACCTGAGCAAATCATCATCTATTTTTGCAAGAGCTGATCTTGTTAAAGCATCTGCTTCTCCATATAGCCCAAGACTTGCTTCTGGTATTACTAGTACTTGTGGCAGTGCTTATTTTACAGTGTGACTTACTGAAAACATTAAGTGGGCAACCAAACACGCTTGCATAGTGGAAGAAATTGTTCAGTAGTGTTTGAAAGAGACAGTCTTCCACCAAGATCACTAGCAAGAACTGGATGATGCATATGTTTTGTCTCACTACCCAAACTCTTTTATAAACTTCTAATCTCACAAGCTCAAACTTGTTTAATTTTTTTTTCCATGGAAATCAATTGGTCAAGCTGCAGTATTATTTTTACCATCTGTTAAAATGAGACTGGAACAAAGCAGGTTGATCCCTTAGCAGTGAGGCGAAGATTTCCCTTTCCTAAGCTGCTTATTGTTTTATAGTAATCCTTTCCCTTCTCCCATCTTGCTTAGTGGAAAAAATAAAAGGATGTGATCCTGGGCCTATTGAAGTAGTTGCTAGACGTGTTCCTGCTTCCCTGAAATGAAAAGTAGTCTGGAAAGAACCAGCTAGAGGCTAAATAACAAATTACATTGTCTAACTGTAAAAGCAGATATTTAGGATGTTTATCATAAGTAGTGCATGTGCATTGGTACTGCGAATCAACTACATCTGTATAATGATCACAAGGATTTGGAGAGAGAAAGAGAGAAAGTGTGTGTGACTTAGTTAAAGCGATTAACATGTTTTAAACTCTTGTTTTCCTAGTGGCCAGAGATTTGGCAGCTTGCGTTCTGAACTCTCCAACCAATGGAGAAAGAGCAAACTCCTCAGAGTTTTGAAGAGTGATCAAAGATGCCTTATATTTCTCTTGAAATATCAGCATCACTGCAGTAGGTCTTCTTCGAGCAGTGACATTGGTGGGAGATGGATAAGCAGTTCTTGAAGGTCGTGGGATTTAAGCTGTATTTTCAAGTGTAGAATTTGTGTCCCGTCATGTGTTATGCACCTCTTGATAAGGTTGAAGGTACCAGTGATAGTTGCTCTTGCCTGTCCTTTTTATGAGCAAATCTTGAGGCTGTGCTCTTTTGAGAGCACTCAGGTCTGCTTACAGTCTAACCTTAATACCAACAACCTGACTTTTTCCTGGCAAAATTCATTGATATAAAATGGCTGAGAAGTTTACCAAGCTAGGGGATTTTTTTGATTGGAGAAAAGTGTTCATCCTTCTCTTTTCCAGCTTCTCCTCCTCCATATATTGATGGTATTCGGATCAACAGTCCTCATTATCTAACCAAGATAAAGCTGACCACCCCGGGGCCCCATACGTTTACCTTGGTGGTGTCCCAGTATGAAAAACAAAACACTATACATTACACCATCAGGGTATGTACTGTCAGTTTCATAATGAATATAAACAACTAAACTGTAAAATATCTTTTATTTGTAAGTTTGATTAAAAAAATGTACTTCTGGATTGATGGTGTTATTTTGGGGAGGAAGGCTATGAGTGATGGAGCAGAACCATTGGATGAAGTGTTTGATAATGTTCTTTGTTTATATTGAAGATAACATAGTGTGTATGTTTTGAGTAATGAAACTTCAGTAACTAAACTAGCTGGAAAATACTTCTATTTCCTAGAATAAAAGATGTACATCTATACAGGCAAAGCATTGGCTCTCTATATATCCAAAATGAGGCTATTTTATATCCCAATTAACATTTAAAGTTTTTTAGCTTCTCCTGAATTCTTGGACTCAGTATTTGGGTTTTTCTGTATCTCCCAAGTCATGTGATGTTCAATGCTTGATGTCTGTTTTTGTCACTGAAAAAAGTAAAATGCAGATCTTTAAGCAGACCTAAGTCTTGTTAGTCCCAGACTACCCTGGATTTTGAATTTCAGACAGACTTGTCTGATGAGTAATATAGGCATGTAGTGAACAAGTACCTAAAAATGATGAGTAGGTAATTCTGCTCTTTTATTTTAACCTGTCATGATTTTGTATGAGAAGTGCAAGATTTTGTATGAATATGTAACCAGCTGCTTCTTTTACAACACAGGTGTATTCCATGTGCAAGTTCACCTTTTCCAAGATTCCTACGCCTTACACCATTTCCAAACGGGTAAGGAAATATTTTCTTCTATGGGGCACTGGATAATAATTCTGGTTTGGCTTTTCCATATTTGAAATGTACAAGGTGCTTAAATATATTTTTGTACTACTGCCCAAAAATGCCAGCTTAGGCCATGTCCTGACAAATGACACTTCTTAACGAGAACTTAATCTAAAGCATCATTAGCACAAGGCCAACCCTCTATTTAAGTTACATACAATTTGCCAGTTAGCTGTTCTGTTAGCATAATTCATACCAACATAAAAGTCCTTGGGCTGGCTCACTTTCACACCACTCGGATGGATGGAGGCTTAACTTCCACTGGCATTTAGTACATAAATTCTACCTTCAGTGCAGAGTGTGTTGTTGCAGCTGCACCATTGCAGAAGCACTGTAAAGCCTTTAGGATAGAATGACCTTTAGAATAACAATCCGTACCCTAATACACAGTTACTCTGCAGAGATCAGGTTGATTGTGCTAGTACTACTGCAGAGTAAAACCACTGCAGAAGTGTTGCTCATCCTCCCTTGAAAGAATTGCATGATTTTCTTGGAAAAACTCTTGGCATGGTGGGACAAAACCAGCACTGACAAACCAAAGGCACCAGTAGCAAGCCCGTGACAAATGGACTTAAGATGGTAATATCACAGTATATTACTGTTCCCCAGTTTTGCAAAAATGTCTCAAAGGTCTGTAACCATTGGGCTAAGCACTTATGGTGCCACATGGGATCAAGGCAATATACTGGTGGCAAGTTTCATGTAGAAATGCTCCCTGAGAGTACAGAGGCAGAGCAAGAGAAAAAAAAAACAGAAGCCCAGGCAGTTTTGGGGGCAGCTGCTGTTTGTATTTCAGCTGTCATCATGTGCTGTAGTTATACCTTCAGCTGAAGTATAAATATAGCCAAGGGCTCACAGGATAAAGTAACTTGCATGTATTTTCATGTATTAGCAATTTTATCCTCAAGAAAGAATAAGGCAGCAGCTCTTAACTGTAAGCTCTGTGCCTACCCTGGGGAATCCTACTAGAGGCAGAAGTTTTCTGTCCAAGCAGTAATTTCTGTGGGAAGAGGGAAACAAGGCTAGTTTGAGCCATGGTGGAACAGTCCATTTTCTAGGAGACTCATGCCTGAAGGAGATGATCACATTACTTTGTGTGGTCAGAAGGGACATGTCAGCTTGCAGCTAGGCTCTTGAGTTGTGTTTCATACCAGTTGTTATTTCTGGAACAACCCCTTGAAGTGAGCCTGTCCTGGAGAGCACTCAGTGGCTAGAGGAATTCCTGAGAAGAAGACAAGATGATTTGCTTAGTTTGTCCCGAAACCATTGTCTTTTTTAGCTCTTAAGAACTGGGCCTAGTTTGGTGGAATACTCTAGGAAGTCAAAGCCTCATTGAAGGTGACCAGACTGAGGCAGGGTATTTGTTTTATGCTGTAGTGTGTTTGAAAAGAGCATAAAGTATGTGGAAACCTCCTGTTAATTATTTGAAGATGTGTGTCTAGTATTCACATAAAAGGCATGTTCAACTTATCCAGGGCCAGCTCTGCCTTTATGCCTAAATACAAAAGTTAATCAGCTGTGCTTAATGTTTATGTGGTCTTTTCTTAGCAGTCATCACACTTACCTTGCAGATAACTAACCTGCAGTTTACCAGTAACAGCAAGTTGTGTTAGATGTCTTATACTAAAGGTGAGTGGTTGGCTCTGGAGCTCACCAAGGGGATTCTTAGACCTGAGTGCAGCAGAGGTGGAAAAGGCCTGGAAAGCTACAGCAGGCAGCAGGTTTAGGTTCCTGGGTAGTAGCCTGGTGAGGGAAGAAATTCCCCTTGCTTCCAAACTTGCCATGTTTGAGGCATTTGGACACAGAGCAAAGGACTTAAATCACAAGAGTTAAAAAGAAACGTTGCTCCTTGTTTGACTGAAAGGGGAGGGAGGTAACAGAAGAAACAGATCTTGGCTATAAATTTGTGTGAATGCCTGGCATGTCCTGCAAGTCTAACCTTTCAGTTTAATGACTAGCAGGAGGAACTTGCAAACAGATGGCCCATTTTCTTAAAGTCAGAGCAGCATTTTTCCTTTTGTATTTTTGTCCTCGTGAAATCTGTCCTTATTGTTTATCTTGCCCCTGTAACAGAGTGCATGGAGGTGAATGGACAGGGCTGGAGGCAATGGTTTCAAGAGCAAAGGTTGCAACACAAGTAGCGTTGGACTTCCTATAGTGCTGTTGTTTCCTGTTTGGTGCAAAAGGAGTGTGTGAGCAAACAAAATAGCCTGCAGAGTCCAGTTGTCACAGGATAGATGGGAATATCAATCTTTTGTTCACTACAGTTTGTCATAGTCAGAAACAGTCACTCATTACTTATTTAATATAGATTGAGAAAAATACAGTACAGTTCCAAGGGATCTGGAGAGGGACTCTTCATCAGGGACTGTAACAACAGGACAAGGGGTGATGGATTTAAACTGCAACAGGGGAAGTTCAGCTTAGATATAAGGAAGAAGTTCTTCCCTGTGAGGGTGGTAAGGCACTGGCACAGGGTGCCCAGAGAAGTGGTACACGCTCTATCCCTGGCAGTGTTCAAGGCCAGGTTGGACAGAGCCTTGGGTGACGTGGTCTAATGTGAGGTGTCCCTGTCCATGGCAGGGGTTGGAACTGGATGATCTTAAGGTCCTTTCCAACCCAAACCAGTCTCTGATTCTATGATCTAAGGCTTTGACCAAGGTGGGTGGACTGCTGCAGTGAAAGTTTCTGAATTCTTAACATAGGCTTTCACTTACACTTTAAAAATTAGCAGAAATTACTAAAGTGAGTGACCTCTAACGCGAGAGGAGCTTCTAGTCTTGTGTGTGTGTGTAAATAAGCAATACAAATCCTCAGCATACAAAGTATTCTTTGTGCTTTTGACTTCTTTCAGGTTAATGGGCAGTGGAAAACTCACAGTGCTGGAGGATGTGGAAATTTCAGAGACACCTACAAAAATAACCCCATTTATCAATTCCAGCTGGATAAGAATGGACCATTACTAATTGAGCTACGGGGACCAAGGTTAGTAGACAATAAGTGTGCATCAACACAGGGGGAGTATCACATGCTACAGCATCACAAGCTTTATCAGTATTGTCTGTGGGGAGGGTAGGAAGCTCCCTGAAAATCCTGAAACAAGGTATAGGATATAGCTTAGCTTTTGTACTGCTTATGTTTCTAACTTCACCATCAGTACTTTTAAATGTATTTTAAACCTGCACATTTGCTACTGAGGAAGTCCTTGACCTACAAGGAAAGCAGGAGCCTTCTTTCTCCTCAGTTTTGGGGTCTGAGCAGAGCTAGGCCTTGCACAGAAGGTACAAAGGATTTTTTCTTCCTCTTTAATTATGATCATAATTCCTTTAACAGTAGAGCTAATAAGCAAGATACTAAACCCTTACAGGCTCTCAATCAGTTGCATTTACTGATTGTGTAATTTACTCTGAAAGTAATGCACTCTGAAAGTGCATTTACTCTGCCACTAGCAAGCCAGAAGTATTGGATGTCAGTGCCCTATAGTGTAGACCTAGGCAGGTCAAATTCCTTTGGCAAAATTAATGATCTACTTCAAACCATCAGTATACAGTGCTTCCAAATAGTATCATCTCCTGACAGGCAGTCAACTGTTTTATCTTTTGCAAAGCTGTGCAGTGCCTCCACCAAATGGCAGTGCTTTTCTGTCCATCCTCCCCTCTTTGAGGAAGCTTTTGTCATGAAACGGAGTGACAAGGTGTGTGGCTAATTAAGCAGGTTCTGTATGTATTTTGTCCTGCATTTGTAGGTCATATGTGGGTAGTCTGAATGACGAGGCAGTGGCACCTGTCACGTTTGTTAACAGGTAGTAGACAAACTGTCCCAAGTTAGAGTACAACATGAAGAATCCTGCTGAGGTCACTGACATTCATTCCCCTGACAGCAATCAGATCACATCCCAGGATCTGCACCATGTGGCAAGGGATTGAGTGACTAGAAGTTTAACTAGTCCAAGTCTGCTTAAATGTGGAGGCAGACTTCTAGCAGGCATTTTCCCTGTACTGTACTTCTGAACCTGAAATGTGTCCTGTTTTCCTCCAAATTCTACATTCATGTCATGGCAAGTTTGACTTAACATTGCTGTCACAAATGTGACAATACTTTTTGATGTCTTCCAGTCATGTTGTCTAGTTTTTAATAAACAGCCCTCTTCCTGGTGATCCTGATGACCCAAATAACTATAGTAACAGTCTGTCATGTTGCTTGCAGGCAATACAGCGTTGGTTTTGAACTCAACACAGTCTCGACAGTAGGAGAACCTGGTTCCTATGGCTTTCAGAAAAAGAGCAGTGGTGACTACAGGTAATGCTCACTTAATGAAGTCTTAAGAGGTTTGAAACATACTTCAGATTTTAGTTCTAACAGGTAGTTTCTTTTATCATAGGTGTGGATTTTGCTACTTGGAATTGGAGAACATAGTTGCTGGAGTTTACAACATTATCCCTACCACATTCCTGCCTCAACAAGAGGGTCCTTTTTTCTTAGACTTTAACAGTACTACTCCTCTTAAGGTATCGCAGCTGCAGTGAGGAGACAGATCTATACATTACTGTTTCAGGATGTGGTTTTGATCTGTCCCACTGTCTGAGAACAGGTGAATAACTTACTACACATACACAGAAAATAAACACACAAAATACACACAAAAAATAAACTCATTCTAAGTTCTAGCCAAAAGCATGGAATTGCTGGTTTGCCAGTTCAGCTGTTGCAGACAACTGGGGGATTTGCTGCTCTAGTATTGGAGCAAGCACTGCTCACCAGGCTAAATGATTATAGTCAAATGGCAGACTCCATTTATTGCAATTTTTTCACACTTCAGAGTCCAGTGAGTTAAGGGAAAAAAACCTCACAGTGATATTCTCTTCTCCCAAATTACAAGGTATATGGGTTTAAGATTTTATTCTTAAAAGTAAACATGTAAGAAAAAGAATGTTCTTTGCCATTCAGGTTGGTTTGGTGGTTTTCTAAGCAAAAAGGCAGCATTTAAATCTTATCTTAGAGCACTTGGTCATTGGGAAACTGAGCACACATTCTACAGGAGCACCAGAAAGATGTGTGCTAAAATCATTCCCCTGGAAGTCTGCTATTAGCCTTCTCCAGCACGTACAAGATCCTTTTGTTTCATTTCCTTCATAAGGTAGCTGTTTAACAAGTGTCTGTCTTGACAAGGGCACTGAAAACACAAGCCTTTGAAAACACACTGCCCTTCTGACTGCAGTTCTTGCAGAGACCATCTGGGCTAGGGAATTTGTGACAGGTTTGTCACAGTGTGACTTGACTTACCTTCTTTTGCAGGGAAATTTCTGATGATTGAGCAAATTAACAGAGGGCACAGCAGAGGCACAAGCTGAGCATAAACCACATTAGGTTCTTTGTGGTTATCCTCGGCTTGTGGAGTACACACCAAGGATGGCCTCATCCTGACAAGATTAATTCCGATCTCATTTTCCCTACAACTTTGTGCTGTTTTTAGCTGAGGTTAAACTGGAGTGGCAATGGAGTCCTGCATATATTTCTCACCTGTGAAGGTATTTAGGAAGTCTCAACTGAGAATGTGTTTGACAAGACAAAAGGTTTTGCCAGAACTGCTTGCTTTCACCACTGTGTTCTTGCACATCCTTTGCTGTTTGAGATCAGGCTGGTAGACTCGTCTACAGTAAAATCTGTTGTCATTCTTCTGTCTGCTCTGCAGGAAGGGGTTTTTCTTTCCTTTCTTGAGCACAAGCTAGTGCCAAACCTTATGCTGGATCAGACGAGTGTAAGGCTCGGTTTTCATGATGTGCTAAAGTAAAAGCAAGGAATGTACTCACTTTCTTAAGGACAAAGGCTCCTGTCCCCACCAGGATCCGCTGACATTTCTTGCATATGCAGGACAGGCACTGGATTGTGCATATCCCCTTAAGCACACAGGGTTTAAGGTTAGTATTGGTGTCCATTACAGTGCAAGACTTATTCAGATATTGCACCTACATGAACAGTGTAAGTTTCTCCCCTTCAGACAGAGGACAGAATACTCAGGTGGAATATTGAAAGGTAAATACAACATATTCTTATAAATTCTAGTATACAGATTCTGCTTGTGGCAAATTACTTTTATAATAAAATTTTCTTACCCTTTTTTCTTATAGAAAAATAAGTTCATGTCAGCAGTTATGATTTGCTTTGATATTTTTTGTCAAATATATAATTCTGTATTATTTCCACAAACAAAGGAGGAAAAATTATGGGAAAGTGAACTGAACCTTAGATTTTTAACACAGCATCTAGGTTAAGCTTTTCTTGATACCCCCTTACCATTTTTGATCCATGTGACAGAGACTATAAGATGCTGATGCAAGCATTTACATAACTGCCCAAGAGCTCAGCCTGCATCAAAAGTACACTGGTCATGTTACTTCCAGTGTCACAGCCAGGCACCTCTTGCCCCTTAAGTCTTTTCTGCCTGTAAACCTGCAGTTCAGGCCTTTAAACATTCAAATACAAAGCCTCATAAAACACACCAAAAAGCATCCTGCTCTTCCAAGTTGTTTATCACATGCTAGGCAGTTGTGATTACTGCCTGAGCAACACAATGAGGGATATGATGGACAAAATGAAAGCCAGTTACTCTAAGGGGCTTTAAGAGGATTTAGATTTTGATTTACTAAAGTACCGAGGGAAGACTTTCAGTCATTCAAAGGAATGACTTTCAGTTCTCTGTCAGCAGTGCAGAGGGGTAGCTGGAGATAGATAGCCTCTGCATGAACTCCAACATTCTCCTCAGATTCTGTAAAGCCTTGGTTGTAGAGTTTTGGATTAAATGCTGCTCTGATAGCTCAGGATGAGCCAGCTTCACAGACACACCTCCCCAGTTTTGTTTTGTTAGGAAGACACAGGTTAGTACTTGGTTACTCCAATCTATCAGTCCTCAAGGAAGTACCGTGGATGAATGGTATCAACAGCTTCTACCCCATCTGCCTCATGAGTCTGAGATTCAGCCCTGCTTTCCTCAGGAAGGTTTCATGTAACTACTTTGTACAATGATAAAGCACTTGATCATACAATCTATGCCAAGTCTGACCAACGGCTAATTAGAAGTTAGTCTGTGTACTTACAGTAGCAGTCTTCATGACTTAGTCAAAAAGGACATTTACATTGTTTGATTAATACCAAAGAAGTTAAATTCCTAAGTTAACTTTTGCTCTATACATTCTCACTTCAGCTGAAGTGATCACATGTACTTTGATACACCAAAGGCTTATTTTTATACCCTTGAAGGCAGCTACCGTCGTATCACACTTCAGAACACACACATTGCTCCAGCAGACAACAGCATAACTACAGAAGTTTAAGTAGAAGTATGCAATACAACATGCCACTTCTGTATGGCTTTGCATTTTGTATTTGGTACTGTCAGTCCCAGCTTTTCCCCAGGTAATGGTCATATCAGAACTGGAACCATGGAATTCTTTCCTAAGCAGTGACTGGGGAGGGAAATGCTAGCAAGGGGCTTCAGAAGATGTAAATGTATAAATAATTAAAGCTATTAAAGCTTAACAGCTGTAATGTGTTGAATCTCATTTTTATGAAAAGGGTTTCTGCACCTCGAGCTCAGCATGGCCTTACAGGAAAGGTCAGCAGTGCTAAGCACAGAGGTGTTTGCTACACACTGGAATGTCTCCCTCTCTCCTGCACACTATGGGATTTTGGAAAACCTGACTAAAGCTCTGGTCTTGTGCAGCTTAGAATAAGAAGCACATCAGGGTTGCAGGGATTCAGGAAGCTGCAAGGAGGTAGGTGTTGTCTATGTACTGCAAAGGATTCCAATACCAGAGTGACACCAGGCTGCAGCAGGAGTGGATATTCAAAGAGTAACATGCTGCAGGAGAAAATTCTGTTCTTGGTGCTTGAGATGAGATAGATTTGGCTTGCACGGAGTCGGGATGTGGAAAACAAAAATGTTTACTGTAGTGTGAAGAGTCTTACATTAACTTTGAGATACACAAGCTGTGGCAGGGACGAAATACAGCAGGACTGCAAAAACATAGAATAGAAAATACTTTGGGCAATACTAAAATTCCCATCAAATTAATGATAGAAACAGATGGTTTAGATAAAATGGTGCTTTCAGAAATGCATAGCTACCAAAACTGAAGAGTCCTAGGATTTTTTACTACCACTTATTAGCATAATTACCAGACACTACTACTGCCTAACAGCTGCTGGCAAAACACACCCTTGCCCTTTTTAGTTTTATTGAACAGTTTCTCTAGGGCATACTAAAATCCCAAGTCCCTTAACAGTTAAAAAACCCCACACGGTACAACCTACGGAGAAGCTTAAGAACACATTGTCAATCCACACTGGCAATTCCTTGTCTTCATGCATATTCCAAGGGTGAATCCCTTACCAAAACTGTCCTGAAAACATCTACAACTCCCATTTTGGAGGAAGAAGAACCCCAAAACACTTAAAGTGCTGAAAAATAATACTTCACTTCTCAGGGGAGGGAAAGGGCAAGGAGCCAACCAACTCTTTTTGGTCACTGGAATCACCCTTGGAGTCCAAGCCAGACTTGGGAAGAAGGTCTGAAAAGGCCTACCACCGCTGAGTGTTACCATCATCTGCCTGTCTCTCAGCACCAGTTTTTATCGGCGTGACTCGTCTTCATCCCTTCTGTGAGCACCAAGGGAAAAGTGAAGGCTTTTAGACCCTGCACATGCAACAGCTCTCCTGTATACAAAATATTTCTACAGTTTCAGCGTAATACAGACAAATACAGATATTTAAAGAATATACCACTTAAAAGATCCACCATATCTAAAGAGCATTTCGTTCTACAAAACTGAAGCCAAACTGCTCTCTGCAAAAGTCTGGCTTGAATTTCAGACCCGCTCCTGGCATGGGTTTCCACGGGAACATTACTAGTTATTGCTTCAGCCGGCTGCTACAAAACAAATTACAAAGTCTGTGAAACCAGAGTACAGCTTAAACAGTTGGTAACGCATCCGGCCTACAAAGGATTTACTGAATAAAAAACTTCAGCCCTCCACATCAATTAGACTTAGTGCAGTTTTAAATTCTCAGAGTAAACGCTTCAGATTTGGCATATATTATTGGCACAATGTTCTTCAAACACTTAGAAGTTCATATATAAATATCTATACTCCCATTAATGAGGACGGGGCACAAAGAGGACTCAGCCAATCTGGGCAGCTTTTCTGCCTGAGCATATTCCCTCTTTGATTTTCATGCACTGAAGGGAGAGCTGCTTCATTCGGTTATCCAGAGCCAGCCCTTCAGTGGAGCTGCTCCTGTTGCTGCTCCTATTCTTGTTCACTCTGTCGCTTGTCTTGTTCTCAGCCCCTTCTGCCCTATCCCCTGTAAAGAAAGGAGAGAAAAAAAAAACCCAAAACTCAGATTTTCCTTAAAATAAAGGTCCCATCAGAATCTCATTGATGACTTATTTTGTGAGATACCTCAAACCCCTCCACCAAGACAGAACTGGGGAAGCTTCCCAGCCAAGAGAAGCATCAGTACACCACTTTAGATGCCACTGTTAACTGTGGGATGCAGGGCTTTCAGGACCTGCCTTCCCCAAGG